AATTTGGATCCTGCTTGGCCATAAGTGATTGGACCTCCGAGTACCCAAGGCATCCATTACTTACCCCATGCTGCCACTTTGCCCTTTACAGCCTCACAGCGGCCGTTTATGGGCCGGACAGCAGCGCTGCTCTCTTTATAGCCGGCCGCCCCTTTATCCTCACTTCAGATCTTTTCACAAACAGACCCCGGGGTGGCAGGTCTATCTGTTCGGGGGGGGCGCCTCAACCCACGACGTACACATGTATGGATGTCATAACTTTGGTACGCATCAGAGAGAAATTACACATTATTCTCCGAGAAGAATTAATTAATTTGTATTGTGACTGCGCACTGCTTCGTTTACCTCCTCCCACCAGAGTGAGACTTCAGAAGGCTTAAGACTTCACTTACAAAGAACAGTGCGGTTATGTAATTGTTCTTTTTGCAAGTGTAAAAACTTCTCACCCTCAGCTTGAAGAAAACACACATTTGTTTTTTGGTGGTGTTTCTGCGATTTGAATTAGCAAGTAAAGTGGGTGGTGGCATTTTTGTGTGTGTTACTGTAAAGATTGTTTTTCATTTAAAAGTTTGTGTTTTCTGTACTCGGGTGGCCAAATTGAACAGATCTTTGACCAACAAGAAGTGAGGAAAATGGTGATAAAGCTGGATTTGTCACAACAGGAAAATAAAGTCGTTTCAGTTTCTATTAGAGAACTTCAGCAATATAACTGCAATGTTATTTAATTGGCTTCATCTTTTTGAGCTCTCCTGAAAAGCTACTGATCATTTGTTTTATTTGGTGGATCTAAATAAGGACATTTTCCGGTTTTCTTAAGATTAGTTTGAAACGTCCATGTAGAAGGAAGTTCACATGCTTCCATGCAAAAGTGAAAGAAAATTGTGAGCTGATGGCATTAACACCAGCTGAGTTTGCTTTGGCAGTCACCCGTGAAGTTCTCATAGTTAAAGTGTAGTGGTCGACTTTTTATCTTTGCTTTTGGGCGCTTACACTGGCCTATTATGAAAACTTTGACATTTATGCCACACATCCTATTACGTATTCACTTTGTCCACCACTAGGTCACAAGCAGGGCGGCCTTTGGCTTGAACCTCTCTCTGCCTCCTTTCAGAGAAAACAGGAAGTATTCGACTGAAAATCAATAGGCTTTTTTATAGACTGAAAAGGTTATCAAAAAAATACACAGCCTTGCATATAGATATATATCGCTGTCTCTAAGAATGCTTGCAGCTATTTATTCATGTGTGTTTGTTCATCCGAGTTCATGCAAAGCTGTTAAATTAATTTTTTGTTTGTGGTGTCTTTGACTGGAATGAACATCAAGTATTTGTTGTTTTAAAAAAAAACATCTTATCTCTGATGGTGCACGTGGTTCTACAGATAAGCTGATGTTTCTACCCAAATTGTGAATGTTTTATGATATGTGTCGGGAGTTTATGCTTTAAAAAAAAAAGAAAAGATGTAATCTGTCTTTTGCAGCTCAACAGGAAGCTGCTTGAATTGCTTTCATGCTGTCTGTTTATTTCTCCACTCCCTGGCTTTCAGTTATGTATTTTTGCTCTGATTTCCCGCGTTTAACAGCCCTTCCAGGGTACCTGCTGTTATGGCTGGCAGATGGCTCAGATCAACATCTTCCCTCCATTGCACTTTCCTTGGTTCTCATTAGGTGCGTTCCTGAAAACGAGGCCTAGCGTTTGTTTCCCAGCCCTGGAGATAACATCACCGGCTGCACAGCAGGCATAAAAATAACCCAACGTGCAGTTGATCTTTTTCCACCCATGTGATCAGAGGGAAGATATTTTGATGATTAATGAATCGAAAAGCTCCTTGCGAGAAATGACAGCAGTGGCCATCCACAAAACAGGAGACCTTAAAGACATATTCGGCCATGCACATGGTCACTATGGAAACTAAAACTTTGATTTGCAAGAATGAAAACATTAGTCTGGTTACTAAAGCGGCTTGTGTACCCGGAGACGCCATTTGGGCTAATCTTGGCTCTGACATTGTGCCGGATCAGATGCAGGCATGTGGGTTTCAGGTCAAAGAAAGAAAAGGCAGGAAACCAGGGCGCAAAGTGTTAATGTTAATAAGTGGTGGGGAGTTGGGTGGTCAGCTGTCAGGCTTGAGGTCAGAATAATGTTTGGCTATATGAAAAATTTACCCAGAATTTCCTTCTTTTCTATTCTGCTAACTTTTTTCTTGTCATACCTGAGTTGCTTAGCTGATCGTCTCCCTGTTTTGTACCTCAGGGCATTCATCCCGTTCTTCAGCTGTTGTTGCATTAGATCTTTGTCGTGTTTATGTAATGTAACGCAGCATGCTGCATGCTTTTGTCTCATGAGTTATTAAATCCTAAGAGACTATCTGCTGACAGCCTTTGTCTGCACTTGGGTGTGCTCCTCCTCAAATCCTGTCAGTTTTATCCTGGCAACAGAGTACCTGCTTCCAATAATTCAACAAAATGATTACTTTAGATACCGTGAGCATATCATTTTCAATTTAAAGTTAATTAGTTTTCCAGTAATACCAAAAACAGTGAGACTGGAAGGACAGGAGATTAACAAAAAAACGTGTCAGGGTTCTCAAATATCTCTCACCGTGACATCAGTTATATGAAATATTCATTTTTTATAGCAACAGGAAAGCATCAGAATGCACCAAATCATGTCTTCTAAAAGATCAAAAGAGAAAAAATGTCATCTTGGGCAGTGGCTGAGTATCCAGAGCTATTTATTAATATTCATGTGGACAAAACAGAGTGAGCCTCTGAGCTGCCTGCACACAACAGCACCTTTCTGAAAAACATGCAGGCAGGCAGGTTCCATGTAGGCTACCTCGTGTGGTCGTGATTTAGGGTAATGAGGCTTTTTTTTAGACGCCATCGGATTTGTGGAAAATGTGCTCTTGTTAATCTACACTAACGCCGCTTCCAAACCCTCTGGACGACACAAAATGGTATAATTACAACTCATTAGGGCAGCTCCCATGCCCGTTATCATTAAGTGATGCACAATGCCACAGCCTGGATGACAAAGAACAGCAAACACATCACTCCTATTCTTTCCTCATTGCCTTGACTTGACTGTATAGTTTAGAAATCAATTGGAAATCTAGCTTATTACTCTCCAGGCCCTCAGGGGAACAGAGCTGCTCTTATATCACCACATTCAACTCTCAGGTGTTTTAGGTCTGACTACAAATCCCTCTTACTGTCACGGTTCAAATTGAAACCTGTCAGAGCTCATGACTTACTGCTCCAAACTGTGGAACTGTTGGAGTTAGAAATCAGACCTGCCCCCCACAACCCCCCCACCCTCCGCCCTTCACAGTCTTACTGTATTTTTGGGGATGAAATTTTACTTAAAACATTTGTGGTAGGTCAGGTCAAAGGTAAGCCAAGAAGAGGTTTGTCTGAACTAAGTAGGAAGGCCAAATTGGATGTGCACAAAATGACAAACAACAGGTTAATCACAGATTATTCCACTGAATATTTTTGACTACGACTATAATATTTAATCGCCGAGGTAGAGGAAGCCAATCCAGGACTGAGAGAGAATAGGTTTCTGGCTTCGTGCTTCTCTCAGATCCAGAAACTCAAATGCTGCTCCTCTGCTGGCAAGAAATAACCAGCAATTAGCTTTGTAAAGTGTTGCCAGCTTGCTTCTGAAACCTCACTCTCCTCCTCATCACAATCTTCGAAATGGCCCAAATCATTTGCATCATCACCATTCGACTTGGAATGATCAACACTCCTGTACTCTGATGGGAACTGTTCTGCAGCCACATGCTGGTAGTTACACGTCTGCAGCAGTGACTGATGGAGGGGCTGGCTGAATTTACTTTTAAATTACCAGGTTAAGGCTAGGAAAACGGGATTTTCCCATACGCAGTAAAAACCCATTTTTAAAATCCATTTTTTATCGAAAGCTTCGCTGTCAGTTTCCATGTTGCCATGACAGCACAACCTCGCATGAGCAGAGGAGCGAAGCATCACATTCTCCATTCAGAAATAGAGGTGCCAGCTCATGGCCAAGAATGAAATGCCTTTATGAATGTAATTTCATGCACAAAGTTTCTTCTCCTACACTGTGTTATGCAGCTTTTTGTCTCTTTATCAGAGGACACTCTGATAAGAGCTTTCTGGAAAACCCCTCTAACTAGTCCATGATTTTCTATTTCTAACTTATTAATGTGATCTTGAAATATATTTTCTCAACAGCTGCTTTTTGGTTTGATGGTGCTGCAGCAAAAATCACTCCAAAATACCAAAAAATTAAGATTTTAATCCAAAAATGAGGATAATGTGTGCCCCTTACTTTCGTTAAATCCTTGTTATCTGCCTTAAAGTGGTTTGCAGTGTCCACAAAAGAAGCTCACATCTTAGATAAAAGAGAAGAATATGAAACAAAAGCTAATTATTTAGACGGCTAATGACCACCGTAATAGGAGTAATGAGTAACCACAGTGATACCCACAAATGCAGATGATGTGTGGCCCTGTTGCCTCATGAGATGTCGAAATGCCCGTTATAAATAGCCCCGCTGCCATCACAGTGAATCAGAGGGCAACCTGTGATTGCACCAGTTGTGTCATTGGCTGTGAAACTTTTCTGTGGGCTGCAACAGCCTCATTCGCATCCCTGTCAGAGATGATGATAATGATAATATCAATACCAATATCTCATGCGTTATGTTCCTATTTCCTTCCGGGAGCGTGCACACTGCACAAACACAGCTGCCCTGCAGCCGTGGGCTGTTTTCAAGGCTTCAGATGATGCAAGTGTTTTATGTTTTATTCTTTACTTTCCGAGGAGCTGGAATTTTAAGGTTCTTAAAGCCGTGGCCTGACCACTCCAGATCTAAAAATCTTCCCTCGCCGCTTTGCTGGAGGCTAAGCTCAGGGTCAGATTATGTCCGCCACACATGAATGGAGGTTTATCGGAGCCATGCAGGGCCTTTCATTAAACGGCTCCGTGCATTTTTTCCGTCTGTGGACAGATCTGCACCCCGGACCTGGTGGTGTTCCTGGCCTGCACGAGCCACCGTTTGAAGGAGAGGCTGCAGAAGAGGGCGGAGCAGCAGGGGCGACCCGACGACAACCCCAAGGCCATCGACCGCCGTCTGACCAACTTCAAGCAGAACACCATCCCTCTGGTCAAGTACTTCCAGGAGAGGGGCCTTATTGTCACGGTAAGGCTGGCAGAATAGGTCTTTCATTCGTTTTATTCGATTGTAGACTTCCACTCTTCTAATCCAAATTCCATATTCCATCCATATTCACTAAATATTCAGTGAAAGCAGCTTTGGTGGGGATATAGGTCTTAAGCTGTCTTGAAAATCATCCTGCAGATACATTTCAGATAAGATTAATGATATAGGGAGTGTCCACCATTTTCAGCTGGCCTGGTTTGGATTCAAACTCTTGATGTTTTAGTCTCTCAGAGTTTTTCCACTACTCTGATTTCTGGGTTCTTTGGGCCTTTTAGTGAAGAGGGGGTTGGGTCTGGGCACTTAGCCATAAGGGCTTGACTGGTGGTTAACTATTGTGACTAATAACCAAAGCAATTGATTATTGATTGTCCTGTTTGATTCTAAATGTCTTCAGTTTTGGACTGAGGGTAACATCAAGGCCTTTTGTCTGCACTTACATTCAGCAAAACAACATCTGACCTAACCCAAACAGTCATGTTTCACAGCTCTGCAGAAAATTCTCAGTTTCTAAATCTGGCCAGCAGTCTCCCATAAATAGGAACAGAACCCTTAAAAAATAGTTTCTGTTTTGTGACTGTGCAGACTGTTGTTTTTGGAAAAATGTCTGTGTACTGTTTTTAGATTCGAAGCTCACTGTGTGCACTGAAGCTATTAAAAGACTCCGTTTTTCCTTTGATTCCAGACGTGGTCAAAAACGTGCGCTTTGCTGCACTGCTCGGTTTTAAGCAGGCATCTCATGTTCACAGGCTGCTGGAGCTCATCAGCACAGCAAGCCCGAGCCCCACTCTGGGCCTGAGGCCTTTGCTTTACCTCCCCCCGCTATCTCTGTCACCTTTCCCGTCTACCTACTGTCAAATAAAGGCCTCTGGCACCCAAAAACCTTAAAAATGTTTAAAAAAACCATTTCAGACCGTGGCACTGCGGTGCTGGAAGCCTATTTATAAAGTCAAACAAAATGCTGGCACACTTACAGTGGCTATATAGAATATGTGTGTGTATATATAGATATAGATATAGATAGACAGATAAATAGATGTGTTTGTAGAGGGAGAAAAGAGAGAGAGAGCTCCCAAGCTCTCAGTTTGATGAATAAGGGGAATTCTGACAGAGCTGCTAATAGTAACAACCAAGAAGGATAAAAATATTTTATAGCCTTATATAGTGAATTTTAGACCATGTCACTTTTGTATCTGCCAGTTATGTTTCCACTACTTTCTCAAGCCTAACGGAAAAATGCATTAGATGTCCGAGTCTCACCAAATTATCCCATTAGAGTATCAGTAGTAAAAAAAAGTTGGAGCAGGATTCTAAAGCACACGATTGTTTAAAACAAGTGTAATTCTGCAGAATCACTTAACTCTCTGAGCACAGGGCTGGTTGTTTGGACACAAACTTGCAGAAGTATACATTTTGGGTACACGAGTCATTATAATTCCTGCACACACACAGACACACACACACACGCACAGCAGCACGAGGGCAGAGGGCTGCTGTCGAGGTCTCGGTGTTGATTGAGGACCTGTGGGAACTCCAGCAGATCGTGCGTCGCGGTGCAGTGGTGCATCACCTTCATCCTCAATATGTGCCAGTGGAGTGCTAATAAGAGACTCTGGCTGATACGCTTCCGCTCCTCTGATGGGAATCTCATTGATCTGTCTGAGTCTCAGTCAGCCTTGTCTTCCTTGCAGCAGAGGGATTACTGAATAACTTCTCTAACTGTATTCCTTTCGAAAAAGAGGCTTTGCCTTCTCTCACATAGCTGGCTTTGTTTTATTTGGGAACGTTTTTTAATCCAAATTACATGATAGTATGTTAATCGCGCACCAAGTCAATTTCTCTTAACATCCTGTCTTGCTAGGTTTCATACATTTTCAGGGATTTGAGCTCCAAGACTAAAAACATATTAGATTTTCCGCTGTGTGTCCATTCTTTCACCCTGCTAAACTCACACCTTTTCTTATCAGCACCTGACACTGCTGTTCATCAGAGGACATAAAAACCTTCATATCTAAATTCTTTCTTGTAATCCCCTTGAGAAAAACCAGTGTGATGTATTTAATACAGTGTTCCATGCCATGTGATTTTAAACTGCGCTGCATTCCACAAATGTTTGGATAAATTATTGGACAAATACTTTTTTGAACGTCTGCGTAGACATATATCAAACTGTTATATTACAGCAAAACTCTCTGCTTAAGGTGAAAATAAAATGCCCCCTAGTCTATATATCCACCCATGGTTTGCTCTTTGCTTGGCCCTGAATGATTGTTCATTTTCCATCTATTGTCTCAACAACGTGGAGGACCCCAAAGCAGACAAAGATAGAAGCTGGAGGTAGAAAGAACTTACATCATTTATGAGAAAACTATAAAAGAATGAGCAGCCGAACCACAACAGCATGAGAAATGATCATAGAAAACAAAGTCTTACAACCAACAAGGACACAGTAGAGGCCGGAGAGCCAGAAGAACCAATGGGAGGGAACGATGACACCAACAGGGATCTGGTGATGAATGAGCAAAATCAGCGAGGTCAAACACAGAGAAGGATGATAAGTGGCTTGTGTCGGCTCAGGAGAACACGCACAGGTGGAGGCTGTGGAGCTGAAAAGCAGACAGGAAGGACACTGAGAACTTTTGGTGAAACGAGAACTAAACACGACTGGCTGATGCTACAACTGGCAACAAATCAAACAAGAGCAAAGAGAAGCACCTAGTAGAGAAATCAGGAATGGAGAGAAAAGCAACGAGTCCTGAAGCTCAAAAACTAAAACTCAATCAATACGAGCAAAAGAAACCTGAAAACAAACCAATGAACAGATTTCTGGTGCTTTGACTTTTTTTATTATTCTGTCAGAAATTGCTTTTATTTTGCACACAAAAGGCCCTAACGGATTGTTCCAGTCCCTAAAATAAACAGATTCAAATTCAACACAAAGTATGAGACTACACAAAAGTGAAAATGGATGATGCAGAGGACAAGATAATCCATGAAACATTTTTAATAGTTCTATTCACTCCTAAAAGGTACCGTTGGGTTTACCAGGTGTTAGTCCAGACTTGCATCACAAATGTAAAAATTAGAGCTCCAGGTTAGGAATAGGTCTGATTACTCTGCACCAGTAGTCTAAAAATGTTAGATTTGGAAGTAAAGACAAGTGCAAAGTTTAACTCCAAGTCCTTAGAAATTCTTTGGACTTCCTCTTTACTTATTGTTCTATTTATTAATCCTTCTGTGCCCAGAGTCCGTCTGTGCTGATGTTAAAACAGAGAGAGATTTTCTGCAGCCTCTGAGCATCTCTGTGCATTTCCCACCTGACTTGGCTTAATTAAACTGAAGTAACTTCATTATGACACAGAAGGAGAACTTCCCTGTGTGTCTGTTTAGAGAAATGTATTTAACTCTTCTTTTTTTCGTTAAAATGTCTAATTGACAAATTTGTAGTTTTATTGATCCCATTACACTTATTTGGAAATCAATAATATTTATCATCCTTTTAAACCGTGCAAAGACATGAACATTACATCATCCGTTTTGCCAATGGAGGCTTTGCTGCTGAGCCCCTTCATTTTCCTCAGCTCAATAAAAATGCATTGAATTCATTTTTTAGATCACATTTTCAGTAACGTCTCAGAGGACTTAGCCGTTCTAACACTGGTACATTTATGGGACTAATGACCTGAGCGAAGAAACTCAGAAAAACAAGAGACAAAACAAAACTAACCCACCCAAGTTAAACACAAACATGATTGAAGGATAAATAGAGATTGGACAAATACTAGTGAAGTAGATCCTAAAAATTATCATTCAAGAATACATAACAGAGATTCACAATGAACTCAGAGAACCAAAGGCCAACAGAACCTGAACCACCTCCCTATCAGCCTGCAAACACAACTGTAACTGCAAATTTATTGATATAACACATTTGTTTCTTTCAGGTTTTTATTTCCTTGGCAGTGAACCTTGCTACTGGGGTAATAAGAAAAATGCCAGACCTGCAAATTAAGGTCCCCCACACGCAGTGTGGCATTTTTCTGTCAAAACCACGGGAGTAGGCAATTTCCTCTCCCTTTATACCTGTGAATAAAAGAAGTCTGAGGTTCCTGCCTGGGTGATTTGAACATTTTGAGAGCTTATCGATGGTTTGTCCTTCCCGTGAATTGCTGTTGCCACAGTGTGTATTAGAGAAGCGGCGGCACTCCTCCTCCATTTTCTGTCTGCGTCTGTGTCTCTGGGTGGAGACATCTCCTCTGCAATCACACGTTTGACAACTTGGAAAACAAGAAGTTAGCAGAGACTGAAAGGCTGTTTGAAAGAAGGAAAGAAAGGCCGAGTTTTTTCACAAACTTTGTCCACAATTAACTCTAAGGAGGTTGTAGTTTATTAGTAGCAATACTTTAAAAGCCCTCGTCTGATCAAGTAAAGGCTTTCACAGAGAACCTTTTCTCACGTGAAAGAAAAACTTTCGATTCCACTATCAGCGTATTTTAGAAAAGAGTTCATTTACCAAGGAATTTACCAGGAATCTACTCGGTCATAAAATTGAAACTTACGTTTATGCATCTCAAACCAAACCAATTAAAGACACAGTGTGTTTCCAAAGGATTTACTTGTCTTCATGTTACTTTTTTTTTATCAGAAATGATTTATGCAGTCCCTGTTAAATGTCTTATCTGCTCTCTATCTATATATTTAGTAACTGTTGTTAAAGACAATGTTTACCACCAAATTCCTCTGGTGACCAACAAGCCGTTATGAATAGCTTCATTTCAGAGGTGCGCCCCACAACAAACATATTAACATTGCTGTTCTTTAAGAATTTAAACTAACTGTGAGGTTAATTGTGAGCCAGACGGAGCTAAAGTAGAGACTAGCTGGTGAACCGCTGCAGTCATGAACAGTGTCTGTGATTATAGATGTTAGACTTACGTGCTCTGTTAGTAAAGTCTAAAGAAATGAGGACACACTTGGATGGGAAAACAGCTTGGAGATGGGTTACCAAATCTTAGCTTACATCCAGGGCTTGTGACACTTTGGGCACATGTATTAATTACATTTGTCCGATTGTCTGTGAGACTGGATTGTTGGCTTGTTTGTTTGTAGGATTAAACAAGTTGCTCACGGATTTTGCATGAAAATTATACAAGAGATCAGCCGGATTTAGTGGGATTTACAGAAATCTCTATCCAGGATTTTGTTATTCAACCGTTTTTGTTTTTTTTGCTCAATTATTTTTGGTTTTGCTAATTCTATTAAGCCTTCACCCAAATCATCATTTTAAGTAATATTTTCAAAGAAAAGAAGTATGATAAAATGTCAAAAACATCCAAATGTCATTGAGCTTTGAATAATTAATCATCTTCTTTCTGTGGGTCATTGTATGCAGAAAAACACAGAAGTTTCTCAAAATTTCAGAGGAGAAGTCAAACTTCCTACTGACTGGATTTATTTCTCTGGCTCTTCAAAAATTGTCACAGGTGAGCGGCTCACAGCTGCTTGACTGATTAATATAATAACATCTGAGCCTCAACAGCCAGGCCCTCGATTTCCCAGTTATTTGTTCATTTTAAATGTCAGCTCCAAAGTGGGAAGCCACAAGTCCCCAAAGAGCACCGGTGAGTCATTCCACCACGAAAAGCTGACCTGTCCATACATACCTCTGCAGGTCTATCGCTGCCATGCATCAAAACGGTCTAATTCTGCTATTGTGAGACAGCTCAAGTTCCTATGACGCTCTTAGCTTCCATCTTGATTGTGCCATTTTATATTTTCGACATAATACCGACTATCAGGACAGAGAAACCTTCATGCTAGAGCCAGCCAGCACCAGCTGCTGTGAGGAGGGGTAATTGTTTGTCGGGGTACCAGCTGAAGTGGCCTCGTCCTTGTAGGGAAACAGAGCGATCTCATTAAGTTTTTCCCCAGCGATTTGAGCTCCAGCTCCCCGCCCGCGTGCCGTTAGATGTCGCACAGTTATAAACAAACCGAGACCGGCTCGCTCTGCCTCTCTCAGCGCCTCCTGAGACGGCTGCAAAATATTTTTCATTATGACATCCAGGAAAAGAAATAAGGCCGACATTAGTCTGGCACTGCGAGATAATGCTCGGTGCTCATGTCTTTTTCTATTTCATGCCCGTTTCTATCAATAAGTGCATGTACCTCGTTTGCCGTGAGTTTTATTTGCCGTCCGCGCAGCTTTTGGGAACGCTTTGTCTTTGCCATGGCGTGCAGAAGGCTGTTCAGACCAAACTTTTCGGGACTTCCACGTGAATGTGTTGTGATGATGGAACACAATGAAGAACAGCAGCAGAGTTCAGGAGCAGCGGCTCCTTTAAGATGTGTGTATCCGTCCTTTAATCTTCTCCTGCCTCTGAGATCTCTGAGATTTTTAGAAGATGATTTCGATTTTACTTTCTTCCACCTTTATAAGAGACATCATCATTTACTTTTTTTGATGTAAAAATACTTGTGGGACACCAGCCCATTTATAATGTGTTGGCGAATTTCAGATCATTTCAAGATCATTAACATTTGTGTCAGACTGGGAAATTGTGTATTTATATACAAATTCCCCAGTTATGCACGTGTTCAGCATTTAGGAATAATTTTGACAGCAAAAAAAAAAACATCTTGATCATGTGACCTTTCTCAACATGAACAACTTTTTCAACAACTTTTAATTAACTGCTATCACCTGCAGTTTGTAGGAGCCAAGATTAAAGCAAAGAGATTTACTGCATCTAGGTTATAATAAACGGTCTTCAGGAGGTGACTGGGCCAAGACAAGGTGTGGTCGTGTTTCTGGAGCTGAGTTACACCATTTCCCAAAGGGGGAGATACACATAAAACTTCTCAGGAATACTCAGATAAATCAGAAGATAAACTAACAGTGTGGAAGGCATGAATTGCCCCCTGTGTTCCAGTCCATTTTCCATCAGACCTGAGAAAGCTTCCAGTTTAAAACACCCTTCTGTTTAATAAGCACTTTGTAGACAGTGTGGGATGTTTTCCATTATTATTTCCATTATTTTTCAATTAAATCAAATCAGCCCCAGCTTTCCCTAGTACAGCTCTTCTCCTTTAGTCTGATCAGCCTCTTTGAGTAGGAATTATATCTCTATAACTTATAGTTCTAAGTTCTCTGAAAGTGCTGTAAATGATGGCATGCCCACTTATTTACTTTGTTTGTTTAGAGCTGGTATTCATAGAAATAATAATGATTTGCATGCGGCCTTTCACGCAGAGGTTAGCACGTCAAACCTTAACCTTTTCTGTTTTGTGTCGGGCCTGGTCCAGCTTTTTTAAAAACGCTTTTTATACGTCACATCCTCTCACTCCAAAATGATTAAGTTGCTAATCTGTGTTTGAGAAACAAGACTCCCTGAGAAATCGCCGGAGTTTCTTGTCAGAATTAAAGGATTAAAGAAGGATCCTCTGCAGGTGTGGGGACAGGTTCTGGCTGTGGAAGCCGTGTATAGAATCGGCTGCCTCTTTCTCTGCTGTGATACAGACCTGCAGGAGTCTGAGCTCCACAAAATGCTTTTTGAATGCCACTCTGGCTGGGGAATACTCAGTCTGATCCCCTCTGCTCCTCTTCTGCAGGTAGACTCAGGGGAGTCTCCCACGCAGTAGACATTAGACAAAGCCTTCCTTTTTTTAGGCTGTTACCATGGTAACCCCAGGAGGAAGCTGGCTGTTCGGAGGTGGGTTCTCCTTATCATGCGTGCCACCTGACCTCCACTCCCACTGCTGACATTCACTCCTTTCTTTATCCATTTTTTGTTTTTTGTTTTTTCGGTCACAGACCTGAAGAAGCGGCCGAAAAACGGAAGGGCAGTCCCCCGTTCGGCCGTTTCCACGAGCACTGAGCCATCTTCTGCCAGACAACGTCTTCACCAGTCAGCCCCCAGTTAGCTCTCCAGTCAAATTCATCAAATTTGCAAACGGCCGTACGTGAAAGGGAAGCCAGCCCGTCTGCGGACGATCTGAAAGAGGCCAGCCGACACAGAGGGGGAGGCTAATTAACGCGGGGTTATTGAAGCTTTCAGTGTGCGCTGAATGCAGAAGGACCCGGGCGTGCAGCGCTCAGCATCAGAGCTCATTTCCAGCGTCTCATCTTATTAGGGGACTCATCTCTGATGTTACAGTGAATTAAAGCGGGGAGCGCGGTCACAGGCTTTCGGTGGTCAGGGCCGTGACCTTTGCGCTCCTTCTCGCGAACAAAATGAGGTGCGCCGAAGTGGCCGTGTTGACAGGAGAAAACAGGGAACTGATGATTGCATTTCTTGTTTCTGCTCTCAGTTGGATGCTGACAGGGATGAGGAGGAGGTCTTCTGTGACATCAGCACGACTCTGGACAACAAGCTGTTTCCCTCCAAAGAGCCTGCAGCTGGTGAGATCTTCTAAACGTAGACACTAAAAATAAAGAAAATAATTTTAAACATTTAAAAATTTTAAAAAACAAACGCCAACACATCTCTTGAAATGCAACTTTTTTTTCATTCAATATTGAAGTTTTAAGTTGTAATAATGGGTGTCAAAAACAAGCCAGACAGGATTTTTGTTTGAATCATGAGTTCTGACATGCAGCATCTTGAACAAGAAATGGGTTAGTCATGGATTCATGTAGTTCTATAAATTAGGTGGCATAAATCATAATTACTTAGATCCTGAGATCCCTGATCTATATCTTTAAGTCATTGTAACTGAAAAGCAAAATTATCCCTCATTTTTTATTTAAACGTTGTGCAACTTAACTTGTAAAAATATTATTAAAAGTATGGACAATATGTAATGCATGTGTGTGAGTAAGTACAGCTAAGGTTATTGTTCAGTTGTTCAATTATAGCATGAAATTGGGCATTTCTCCCCTTCTAAGTATGCAAGCACAGGAGTTAATTACCAGAGTAGGTGGTTACGTGTTCCCTTTAAGCTTGTTAATATTGAGCTTTTCCATTGACCTACAGAGACACAGAACAAGACACTGAGAAACTGTTTAACTGGCAGTAAATTAGTATCATGTTGAGCAGTGAGTTGAACAGCAGGGTATTTTTCTCTGATTTCTTCTGTTGTTTTAATTGAACACTTGCATGCTGGGACTTATTTACTCTCAAATAAATGATCTGTGTTCTAATTCATTCTTGAGAAAAATGGATTTAGCTATATCATTTCACTTGTAGAAACCCGTTTAATAAAAATTCAGGGTAAGTAGGGTTGATATTATGTCCTCTGTTAGGGAGAGTAAATCTCTTTTAGGTGGACTTTTCAGCAGACTTTGGATTTAGACCAGCCACTGGGTCTCCATGAATAGATAATATCAGAAAAATAAATCCTCACCCCAGTAGCATTTCTCTAGAATCTCTTTAACCAGATGACATGAGATAGCTCAACATGCAGCCTCAGTAAGTTTTATGTCCTCCTGTTTGTTTCCCAGCTTCTAGCTCATGCCCACCATGTGGAGGGGCTTTTCCAAAACAGTCCAACATCACCAATAGAGAGCCCAAGTGAAAACCGAAAACGGTCTGGTTACCGAGCAAGTCGGCATAGCAACCAGTGTGTGCGGGTTAGCCGTGCTTTGTGTGAAATGCAGACTAAACGGGGTTAGGCCGTTATGTAAGGTTTGATAATCAACTGTTTATAGATCTGCATCCCGACCGCAAACACCTCGAGCCGGTGTGAAGAATGTGGTCCATCTGTGCGGTGCAGGTGTTCTGCTCGGATTTTGTGAGCCTCTTTCATAACAGGTTTGGCTCTAAGAAGAAGTATTACAAGGACATTAGTCATCAAAATGTGTCCAGTCTTTGTGGCGTATCCCTCATTAGATGTCATAACGGGGTGTAGGTGTAACTTTAATGCAACGTGAAGCAAAAAGCTGTCACTTCCTTGTCCGTCATTGCCGTGTAGTTAAGTTGTTTTGCAGTTTTTGCCTTTTAAAATGTTACTGAGAGGCTTTTCACTAAAAAATACAGTCACTTTTGTTGTTTCGACTAATGCACAAACGGCTCTACGTTTTCCTTGGATGAAAAGAGAAATGGGATGGTAGATGACAGTTTTAAACACAGGAGTGTCTTCCTCTACGGAGGCCCTGGGGCAACGATTTTAGGCTGAGCTTCTGTAAGCTCGCACGCTTAACCGGGAATAATGTATTAGGTTCGGTGTTCACTTTTCTACAATGTGACTGTCCTGCAAAAAAAAAGACAGGAACTCAAAAAACACGATTGTTATGAAAATATCAGCTGAATTCTGCCATTCAGGACTCATTTGCTGGAGTTTAAAAAAACTACATTTTCTTCAAGCTGTTTAAGACTAAATACTTAAAAACGACAGTAAATTTAGGCAAATTAATCCAATTACATTTGACTGAGTAGTAAAGGGTGCAGCGGTTAGTGCTATCACCTGACAAGAAGAAGGCACAGTTTAAATCTCAGCTGGGGCTTTTTTTTTAATGGATTTTACAGGAATTGAACTTGGTTTAAACACATTTTTTTTGTTCGTGTTATCAGAATTGCTATAAAAAGAAACAAAACACAGAGCACGTCTGACTCTTGTCTAGCAGAGAGCGAACATGCAGGATGCATTTCATTTTCTACTCGCATCCTGTAAGGCGTGTTAGTCAACCTGGAGCTCATAGAGGACTTTTTTCCCTTAACTTTGTATCCTAGTGGAAATTGGAGCATAACAACCCCCCCCCTCTGCAGTGCAATGTGCTTCCCTCCCTGTGTCTTTAGCCACTGTGTCTTCATTAGCGTGTTTTTAGACTGCGTGACAGCCGAGAACATTTGGCAAATAGAACACCGTGTGGAAAAGTTTCCACCGTCTGAAAACTGCTGTATGTATTCCGGTGGAGAAGATCTCGGGACTGCGTGCTTCATAAATAAATTGTATTTACGCTCCACTTCTGTGCTGCTTGTGATGCATTGTCATGCCACAGCGCAGCCCCGGCACAACAGGAAGCCGAGTGGGAGCCCGGGGAAGTTATTAGAAAGCCTCCGCAATTGCAGAGGACAGGTCAAGCCGCCTGTTCTCACTCATTTTAAATGCAGTCCAGACTATTGTGGGTTGCTTTTGTAATTTTGCGAACAGTTTGCTGCGACACATTCACGCAGGAGGAGGCGGAGGCTCAAGTTAGGAGGTGCCAAAACCGCACCGAAGGGACATATGGCACCTGAAAATAGTTCAAAAGACCAAAAAAAAACAGATGGTTCAAAAAGGAGGAGAGCTGCTGCTCACTCATCAGGTATTTCAGTACCTGAAGACTCAGGGAAATTCCTTATGAGTAAATATACTGTATATCAGAATGAAAAAATGCAAGTTTTTCTGCTTTGAGTTAATTTCTTTTGCTAAATTGACCCACAAACTACTGAGCTGTTTACTTTTGGCTCTTTAATTTAAAAAAATCCTATAGATATTGCTGTCTGTTGCTGCATATTTTTTCATGATCCACTGCTTAAAGGTGCCCACAACCTGAGGTTTCATCAACCTGTCTGTTCGGTTGACTAGTTCCCGCTTTTAACTTGTGTTTTCTGTGAAGGAGACACACGGTGTCATTTCAAATCCTCCAAAACGTGGAATAAACTGATTCCTGGTGCTTCGGTTTGATATAGATTTTAGTAGACAAACTGATGGCCTGAAACTTATCAACTGTCGGAAGTGTAAGTAAAAAAGCTACGGGAAACAAAAACATTAAGAGAAATCCAAAAATAGAGTTTTTTCTCAGAGCAATTGGCCTGTAGTCCATCTACTGATTGTAGTTCCACTAGTGAGAGGAAGCTGCTGTCCTCTGGCCCTGATTATCAGCAGCAGGCATCCTGCTCCGAGTTAGAGCTGACCGGCACAGCGGCCACCGGAAATCACTGGTCTCTGCACTCTGAAATAAAAATCCCCCACGCTCCCTCCTCGGCCCTTTGCTTTTCAGGAGAAACACGCACTCTGACACGTTGCTGACTCTGAAGTCAGGAGCCGTTACGGGCATGTAGCCCGGTTAGTTTGTTCTTTTTTAGTCCCCAGTTTGGAACTTTTAATCATAAGACATCAAAGAAATCTTTGGATGTAGCCTGAGGCTGCGTCTGTGCATAATCTAACACAACTTTTTGATCAGGAGGCGACCGTGTGAGGGAGGATTAAAAAAATGCCAAGCGAAAAAGTGTTATTCACGACTCATTTCCACCAAGGAGGGACATGAAGATGTGTTAGAGCGGCGGCTTAATGAGAGCTCGGGGTTGGTTCAGGTGGTTCTGAGGCTTAAATCAACTTAGATTATTGTAGCTCTTGCTGTGTGTTTTTCTCTGCTTCGCACTCGTGTGCAAAATGCACGACTGCATCTGGAAAAGCTGATGCAGATTTAAGCATGTGAGCATTTTTTGGGTCGTCCATTCAAAAGGGACAAATACATTTAACATTGCTTCGTAAAGAATGCAGATACTATGTATGCAGCTCTTGAGCAACAGCTCATTTGCAACTTCTGTCCCCGGTTTTACTTCCAAGATTGAAACTGATTTAACAAGATAATACATTTTAGAGTATTACAAGTCAAATAAAACCACTAGAATGTTCTAAAAAATGACAGAAGTCAGCCTGGTAGCACAGAGAGGGTAGGTCTGTGTGTGCACTAGCATGCAAGTACAGGTGCACACAAGTGCGCACACACACCTATATATATGCATATAAATGCACAGTAAATATGTAATACAATCAGTGTAGAGTTATTACTATTATTATTATTATTTACCTTAGCAAAGAAAGCAAAACTTCAAAGGCTTGCTCATTGCACCTATTTTGCTTCTTTTAGACTGCTTGTATATCCGGTGTATTTTTTTTACTATTAACCCACTGACCACATTATATTTACAGGGTCTGAAAGGAGGAATGCCTTCGTGTTTGGGTTGCTGTGGAAACAGCCATGAGTCGGTAGCCTGCAGACATGGTTTTTCTCCATGTTGCCTTCCAAACAGATTTGGAGGTTGTTGTAGAAATCTGTAAACGTCAACTCAAATTCGTCCAAACATACCAATAATGAACACGTTAATAGACCCATTCCAACTCGCTGATTGGGCGGCAGCAAAGACGAGCCCTCCCAGAGAGCCTCATTTGGCATGCCCTTTATCCACACCTTTGCTTTCATGTGTTCCCCAAAGAGTGCTCTTCTGCCAGTGAAAGACTAGAGGTGTTTTCTGCATTACTGGCTGTTTTCTCCTCTTTCATAGTCCGAGGCCTCGATGTAAGCCTCTAGTGGTCACAACAGGGTGGATTTGCAAATTGCTTTATGTGTTTGTATTTTCTCATTCCTCATTATTACAGCATCATGAATTAGACACCAAAGCAATCTTTGGCCTGACAGAATAATGCTTCTTGTCCATTTTTTTACAACAAAAAGTTCAGAATTAAGACCTAAGTACATAAGAAGTTGATTAATTTTTTTATTCCTGTGAAACAGGTCCAAGTGAGCTGGATCTCAGCCTACTGGGTGAAACAAGCAGCCTGATCGACGCAGCCTTCAAGAACTATGAGGTAAGATTGTGTTGCACGGTTAAGATCCGTTCTTCAGTTTAACAAATGCATATTCTGTTTATAATTCAAAAGCCCAAAGCTTTTCAGCCTAAACCTGCGGAGAGAGGGTGCAGGAAAGTAAATCTTCTTTTGCTTACTCACCCTTTACGTAAAAAGAATAAATACATACAAAAATATACGATGGCTTTGACTCAGGAACCGACAAGTATGTCATAAATCTCTTATGTAAGTCTTCATGAAGTCCTCATAAAACATCAGCAGCAGCTTGATTATCTTAATCTTCTCTGGCTGTGCTGTTTTATTTCATTACACAGATTAAAATTTTAATCAAGATCTCTGTCAAATAGACGCTAAGCCCTCACATTTCCCCTGTACGTCACCTGCAACATTACATAAATGACGACTGCGAATTACCTTTTCCAAAGAGGCAAAAAGCGGCGGGATGATTCAGCCCCGTGAACGTCCTCACATAGAGCGTAACGTTGTGTGGCGCCTGGCAACGTGTCAGAAGAGCTCCGTTCCTCCACACAATCTGCAGCCCGAGATGCAAAAACACAGACCTCGCTCTGTCTCATTTTGCATCCCCGGAGTGTCTGAAAAACAGCGTGGTATCACTCCCCTTTGTTGCTGTCTTCATATCAGTCAGAGTTTCAGAGACTGGGAAGCACCTTTATTTGCATTTAGTGAAACTGTGGGGAGGTTTTTGGCACTTTTCCTTCAGTGGCAATTTTCCTTCAGTGTTCCTTCGAGTTAAAGGTTGCTTTCTCTGTACCACTTTTAATCTTTTTTTGTCCCCACTTCCTCATGAATAAACCATTCTTGCTTGTTTTTATTCGTTTATAATCATGAGGAGCACAGTTTTAAGGTTAATGAGGGTTGTACCTTTGAGCCCCGGGGACGCACTAGGAAAGGAAAACTGTGATGTCCCTCTTTCTTTATGTAGGACCTGAAGATGGGTTTAAACTACAGGACTGTAATTAGGGTCTGTGATTAAACACTGATTATGTTGCAGAGTTTTTTTTTAAGATAATCCATCTAGACGAGAGTTCGTTAGAGAAAGAGCCAATAAATAAGAGAAACCTAAAAACAACATATTTTCTTATGTGTTGATATCATAATATTATGAAGAACAAATTAAAAAGTTATTGCATTATGTCCCTGAAAAGCACATGTCCTTTGAAAAATCAAATTCAAAACAACATGGACAATTTATTGACCTGTAGGGGAAGAAAATCTGACATTTCTTATACCTCCCCTTATTTTCTTTAGACAATCATTTAGAGGCATTTGCTGTACAAGTTCAGCTCTTTTTCTCCATGAACTCTAACCATAACTTGCCTCTGTGAGGTAAGGCTTTATACTTAATGATTTATCCTTCTACTTTGTCATGTTTCGGCTTCAAAATTCTAGCCAGATGGAAGGAGACCATGGAAGAAATTTAATATACGAGCTCTGTCCTGATCCGGCCATGTTCACAAACTGACTCACTCTCACGGCCAGGTGCTTTGTTACCTGAGAGCCGGCGTCCTGCCGGGTGTCTGCGGGGCCTTGTGGCTGGCCACCATTTCCTAATAAAACACCCTTTGTCGTGCCAGACAACGTTGACCTTTAAATGAGGCTGATCGATAATTAAATGATGCCCATCTCCTCATCATTCAAACGCATTCAAAGCCCGGATAAAAGGCAGCCCTATGCTAACAGTGAAGTGGTAATCCTTGAAGCGGAACTATAAAGTGGCTTCGAGGCAAGTAGAGTGCAAACGAAAGCAGGCAGAGCAGCTCAGCGATAAGGCCGGTGACCCCGCGGACGTCGATTGTGCGAATGTTCCGATCAAAACCGGTCGCACAGGAGTGAGACAGATCCAGCCGACACACTGCGAACTTAAGAGCAGGATTTTTTTTTCTCTCTCTTTAACAGCTGATCCAATGTAAAGAGCAAAAGGATTTTTTTTAAGTGTGTTCTGGGTGACATCAGCAACAGACACTCCCACTCTCTATCTCTCTCTCTCTCTCTCTCTCTCTTTCTCTCTCTTTCTGGCTTTCCCGCCTCAACAGCACTCCAAAAGCATTTATCTCCACTCTCTTGTTTTGCGGCAGAGTTAATTAAATGGAAAAAAAAAAAGAGGCACGGGATGTTTTTTATGACCCCATTCTGCGTTCCGTCGCTGTAATTTCTTTTATTTAAATCGGGGAAAAGCTAGTTTGCAGCCGTAGCTGCGATTCTGCTGGTAGCAAAGCTGTGGCTCCTAGTTGGTAACGGGCTCAGCACGGACTGTAAGCATTCGGTGCAAATGAACAGGAAACTGGTGGTTGTATGAGCAGTGAAGCGCCCTTCTTTAACACCGCTTTATCATGTTCCATCAGAGCACCGTTCTTTTGCATTGAGTGTGGTTTAGCCATGCTTTCTTTAGGATTATAAAAGAGAGCCACAGTTCAGTTCCTTGTAGCCATATACATAAAACCAAAGATTAACGTACAAGTGCAGCTTAACAATGAGTGAATCCACAGCCAGAGCCGGGCAGCTGAACCCACAGCCACTGGCCGTGGACTGTAGCCCTTAACTGGCCCAGTGTTTTTAATGAGAAAGAATATCACACCTGCTCTCAGTTAGGAGACTACAGCAAGGGAATACAAAAGATTTGAGACTTAGACTCTTAAGGGACTCTATAGACAAGGAAGAGAGGCCAACAAAGGACCAACGTCCAATGTGACATCAACTTTTTAATTTCTGCTGTTAGAAATCCACAAAAACTTTGTGGTCAGAGTGGACATGAGTGGTCGGATAAGTCAGACGACTTTAAAATCCATATCAGAAGCAGAGCGGCGGCCTTCATTAACAGATTTAAGCACAGGTGGAAGGAAAGGACATTTCAAATTATGTGAACTTTGAGTTTTAGTGGGTAAAATCCAGATGTGCATGGTTTCACACACGTTTGCACATGAGCAGTGGATAAATTATGGTGTGTTGTCGCATATAAATCGAAGCTCAGCTACTGATATATGATACAAGATATATAAAAAAAAAGAAAGAGGCAAACAAAAGTGTGTAAGCTGAAGCCTTGAAGCATGGTTTGCTATCCTTAAAAGCTCATGGGAAGGCAGCCATCTTGCCAGACGAGACAACCAGCTAATTAAAAAAAAGAGAGCGAAAATCGTTAGGAAATTGCAAGTTGGATTCAGAAACATGCCAACTTTGATTCTACTTGCAGGCATCGTCAATATGTTCCAACTCTCATAATCTCCCAGGCACTCGGCGTGAGCTGTGAGAGATAAGCTTGTTTTTCTATATGAATATGGAATACAGCGTCACTGATCAGGAACTCCTCCAAAAAAGGAGCCCCTGTTAACCAACAGTTATGTATAGAAATCCAATCAGTTAACAATCCAAACTACTCAAAGGCGGAAACACAAAAAGAGTTGCGTGGATGACCAAAGGGGATGATTCATGTCAAAGACTGTGGATCTCTTAAAGGTTAAACGGCTTTTTTCCCCGCCACTGTCAGTGATGAATGCGCTGGATAGTCAGAGCCTTCTTCAGCCGACCTGAGAGTCTCAAGGCTCGTTTTAACAACACGGCAGTTCAGCGCCGCGTCCGGAGGTTTGGAATAAATGAGCAGAGGGCGACAGCAGCAGTTTGTTTAATTCGATCATCCGGGTGACTCACCCAGAGAGTGTAATATGAAGCAAATGTTTCCTCAAGTGGAGACGAAAAGGCATGTTATGCTGCTGATGACAAAGTTCTCATCTGGAGATGTTAAGAGCTTTAGCCTTTTAAGCATAGCCAATTAAACACTTTTGGTTCAGTCACAAAGAGTTGAGATGTTTATGCAGACAGATTTACTACGATATTAAAATCCTTTCGGATCTATTTTTGTGCATCTGATTGATTGGATAGGAACAGCCACAGATTTACGTCTTTTTTAGCACCAAATCCGATTAGATTAACCGTGTATTAATAAGCAAACATAAACATACCCTACACCCACAGAGCAAGAACATCGATGCGCAAGAAAACAGTCTTAATATGCACATCATTAACATAATTTAATTTAACTTTCTCCCACAAAAAAACCCAACTTGAACTATGAGAAATTCAGCCGTGTTTTAAGGAGAAACAGCAACAGAATTGTTGCATTAACGGGGTTAAGTGTGTATTTATATAGCAGCAGACTTTATGAACTGTCCGGTAATCTTTATCAAGTTAATAATTCATTTAGGTTCCCTCAAAGGCAACCCAATATCTTAAAATCCTGCTTCTTCTTCCAGGACGCAATTCATATTCAGCCTGAGCATCAGTTAGTTCTTAAATATTTACGGCCAGTTTCGCACTTTGCTTGAGGAGATTCCGATGGCTAATAAGTTGATTACTAAAGTGGAATCCAAATGGTGTCTGTGTGTGTGCAATATTTGAATAGATTTTTAATCAAATAACACCAATTTCCAACCTGAGAGCATATTGTTAAGCATTTTAAAGACTTTAAGACGCTAAATAGAGAGAGGCAGTAATGAGTTAGTACCTTAACTGCGCGTTAATAATTCAGGGAGCAGCTGAAAAGGAAAGGACCCGTTAAATGAAGGGTTACTGTTCGTTCTAAAGCCCATGTCTTTAAGGTCTAAGGATTGTCTGAGGCTCCTTTGGATGGATTAGCTGGAGTTTATCATGCATCACACCTTCACTGAGCTTCTGAACTGGACACCTCACGTGTCGCTTTTGGACGTTTGGACGTCGGCGTGTGGGTTCTTGCATTCCCACGCTCGGCAGAGACTCTGCCGGAATGAACGAAGCAGCGTTTTCTCGCTGCGTATTTTGGTGCGTTTTCGTACGCCGTTGCTCGGGGAGCAGCGCATGCTGTGCATGTGTTTCTGCCTCTGAGTCACCCGGACATTTGGTGTGCCCACATTCCAAGCTGGCCGGTCGCTGGCGCCCGCCGCTCCTCCGCCCAGACGGGATTTATTCAACACTGTCCGCTTTTTCTGCTCCACTCCAGGCCGAGCCCCCCCTGTTCCGCGGCCTGTGCCGTGCTCTATCTGCACACTGAGCTGAACTCTCTGCAAGCGGCGAAATGCTGACATCACAACCTTTGCGTTCAGAGCAGCCTGGGGGTCAAGAACTGGTTTTGGATGGAAATGTCAGGGGGGGGAGTTGCTTTTCTTCAGATGTCTGTCAGGAGATCATGTTTGCTTTCTGTGTTGTGGCAGCTGAATGGAACTCTGGATGGCTGGAAGTGATGATCTGCGTCAGAGCACCAGTTCAGTTCAGTACTTAGTTTGTTGATACTCCTCCAAAGAGAGCAATTCAGGGCTGGTAGCGTTTACATGCTCATTAAATACTCGTCTCTTCTCAGGGACTGACAAAGGTTTCACGTTGATTTTTTTTTTTCATCTTCTCTGGGTCTTTGTGTCAAGAACTTTAACTCTTAGCTGATTATTCTTACCGGCCCTGAGTCACTGGTTTATAACTCATTTATTGCCTCATATCTCCAAACACACATCATATGAGTCATTTATTGAAACTGTAGCTGCAAACATTGCTGAGTTCTCTGTTAGGGAAAAAACAGCATTCATCACAAATTTCCCGAATCTGTTTCGAATCATTTGAGCAAAAATAAACTCAATTCTCTGAAGGCTGGGTTAAGGAACAATAATTAGCAGGATACTCTCGAGGGGAAATGTGGACACGGGTTGAAATTACTTAAATTAGGCTTTTGGTGTTGCAGCAATTTGTGTTTAGAGGGAAATAAATCTTTCCTCATTGTATTCCAGTCATGTATATAAACTGACATCTGGGTAACAAGCTGAGAAATTGATTGTTTGTTGTCCACATTAACACAGCAAATAAGTGGACATAATGGAGAAGAGAGCACAAAACAAGGATTATCTACTGTTTTCATACAAAGAAAGATAGAATTAGCATTAAAGATAATGAGGGGAAATCTGCTCATTCAAATGTCTGTCTGATTTCTGTCAATTTTATAGTCTAAGCTGGGTGAGTATGATTTAGAAGTTGTGGTTAATGGTGTTTGAGTACCTAAATCCAGGACTCAGAAATGAAGAGTTATGGACCAAACACGGAAAAGTGAACATCGGGGAGACAAGAGACTAAGCAGAGATGAAAACACAACACGGACTGGCATTGCTCTGCAACAACACGAGAGCACGGAGGTTTTACACCACAGGAGAAAATGACAAACCAAGGGCAGGTGTGATCATTTGCCAGCAGAATCCAGCTGTGTGAGGAGAGCAGAAAACAGGGACACCCACAGACCCGGCTGAGGAAAAGAAACAAGAGCACACTTCAAGGCTCAACAAATCAAACCGAAAAGGAGCCCAGGGAACAAGAATTTCATACACTAGCACACCTCAATTAAATGTATCTACTTTGATAACAACGTTATTCTTTCAGTGATAAATAACCTGAGTCATTTCCCGGCTGAATACTAGAAGAGTGGAACTCTTAAGGTCTTTGTTGGATGTTGACATTTTCCATTTCAGAAGTCTTTCTGATGAAATGCTGCCTGGTTTGATTTATATATACATATTATATAAAAATATATACAGTATATATGTGTGTGTGTCTGTTTTCTGTTTTTATTCATTATTTTCACACCTTTTTTCTGGCTGTTTTTGCCAGCGTACCAGATATCTTAAGGGCACGTTCACAATCAGACTCTAAGACAATTCCAATAGATTCCTCAGCTTAGTTTATGGTGCCAGCGTGTATTTCTGTCCTCCCAGAGCTGGCAGTCAGCTCTGGAGTCATTTGCAGTCTCGCTGAGACTTCAGCGGAACGTGAACGAAGCCGTGGAGGTGCCGACGCTCATGCATTGTTTAGGAGCGCGCTGGTTTCAGATCTTGGGAGAAGTGTTGCACGATTCGATTGGATTTAGATGCCGGCTGACACACCGGTGCAAAAAAAAAGCTGCCTCTGTGTTGTCACGGCTCAGGGGTTCCTGTGCTCCATTCCAATGATTCATTAGCATTTGATTTGGACCTTTTCTGCGTCATAATTGCATCGAAAATGAGGCGGCGATGAACCAAGAAGCCTCTTTGCCATCCTGGTCAGGAACATTTGTCTCCTTACATTTTCCTTTAATGCATGTTACATTAAGCTGACATTTAAATCCTCATCGCAGGACTCTTAGTCTAGTTTCTCATGATTTGAGTCCAGTACCAAGATAAATGACTTCTAGACTAGATATAGAATATGGCGAGCAGGCTCTTTGGTTCATTCCTGCCTCATTTCAGTTCGAGTAAAAAACAAGAAGATGTGACTCGTGGGGGCGTCCAGCTGTTTTGCAGGCTGTTCTGCACAGACCTCTGACGCTTCAACTTCAGAGAAAAGAGATTTTTCAAAGTTAACCCACCAAAAAGCACAGCGGTCGAAGCCATGTTAGACCTTTTCTACGTCTGACATATATGGACACACCATCAATTCTTAATGGCGCTCGATTCAATCTTTCAGCACGGCAGTTCCCACGGGCACACAGACGGGTCCATTATGATGTTGTTCTGCTGTAGTTTGTGAGTCTGTTTCGCTCAGGGCTCTAACCCGAGGGGGCCAGCCGAGACCTTTGGGATTCAAGATCAGAGCACTTTCAGATCAAATCAGTAACACCTTTTCAGTCAAAATACATAAATAAAAACGCAGAAAGCTGTACATTCTTTGTCTTTTCAGAAATATCTGATAAAGTTGCTAAACCATTGTGAGTTGCTGCTGGTTGTGTAGTTTTCATGTTAAATATTAATTTATGTGGCTCCTTTCCTACCATTAAAAACACACCTTGGGTGAATTCATGCTTATCAATTTTTGAATAGGAACCAGTGTGTGAGCTCATGACTGTGTGAGTTGTTTGTCTCTGTGTCACCCTCACAAGTCAAACCAAAGATCTTAAATCTTACATTTCTCTGTATTTGCAGGTTGAGGAGGAGGAAGCTGGATACGCCGAAGGCGCCACAGAAAGTGAGTTTAAGGAGAAACTGAGCTTTGCACGTCACGGCTAAAGGCCGACAAACAGGCGTACCTCCACCGTTATGTGTCCTCTGTGAGAAAAACGCAGCAGCAGCGTATCTCCTGCCGTCACACACTGCTGACTGACTCCACTCACAATGTTCCCCACAAGTACACAAACCGTCCCTCCTCGGTAAATGCCACAAGTGTCACGTAGCTTTAACGTTATTGACCAGACATCTGAATGAACCTCCCTCTGTGGTCCGGTGAGCGTATGTATGCGTGTGCGTATCTGTGTGCCTGCGTGTGTGTGTGAGTGTGTGTCTCTCTGCATCAACAGTATTGATTGGGTGATGTTCGGAGAGGCTCGTTTGTTGATTCAGAGCTGATGCGTATCTCATCAGCTGCTCCGGCGTGACGCTGACAGGGGGACAGGCCTGCGTTCGTTCTGCCTCTTCACTCCTGAATTTTCATCAGCTCACTGTTGTGCTCTCGTGCAACATCCACATTCATGCTTTGTGCCTCCAGCGGTGGCTTGTGGGAAAAAATTGTACCATTCATTAAAAGCATTTTGATCTAATTTCAAGTCCACCTGAATGTATATGTGTACAGATTTCCTAAAAGGACAGAACAAAATAAGAAAAAAGCAAACACTCGTCAGCTCCTGTTTAATAACCGGGGCCCGCCCACCGGTCTGATTCATGTTTGAAAGGTTTTGCATGAAGCCTTCAGCCTTCCTGATAAAGATTTAATTAAGAAGCCACGGGATGATTTGTGTCCTCCCGACAGGAGGTCCCACGGTGTGTGTGTGTCCCCATGTTAAACTGTGATTTTCTTTCTTCCGACAGGTTATTGCACAGAACAGAAGAAACCAAAGGTCATCTTCATGATGGGTATGTGCCCCCCTCCCCCTCCTAAAACAGGAGAAAAAAAACCCTGCTCATATTTCAGAGCCGGTACGCCTCATTAGGAAGATAAAGACGAGACTACAACTACCAGCTGTTGATTGTTCAGCTGGCTGTTAAGACAGCCTCATTCACACACACACACACACACACACACACACAGGCACACACACACACAGAAATTCAGTTTTTTGGGGGGAAAATAACAGATCTTTGTCCTCCAAATTTCTATTCTCTTAAATAGAAAAAGACAGATCGAGGGAAAAGTGTATGTCATCATCTACCAAGTGATTTTAAACGCCTCCAGCATCTGAAACTTAATTCACAGCAACAGGTTTTAATCCATCCTGGACGGTCCGCCAGTGATTTTCTAATGATTTATATTAAATTTATTTACAAATATAGAATTTTACTGAAATTCATTTGTACAAATTGTCTTCTATCATATTCAGTGTTTAGCAGCTAATAGTGATGCAGACAAACAGAACTACTAAAAACTTTTTGATGTTTCCATGGATTCATTCTGAAAAATGGCTCATTAATCAAGCTTTTTCCGTGACTGTTCTATTCATAAGTAGATATACACTTAGAGTCAAAAGGCACACCTACTGATTATTTTAATTAGCGCATTTACACAAATTACCGTTCTAGTCATAACAAAATCAGCTGTTAAGATGCACATAAATACAACATTCTAACCAATAGTGCACCAAATCGACCGAAACAAAAAGAGTCTGGCTTTTTATCAGGAATGACGAATATTTTTAAATGCACTCTGCACAAGAGTTGCATCCTGTTCCATCATCCTCCAAAAACAGCAGACCATAAAAGTGCAGGAATACATTAAAGCTACTCTCTTTTAAATGTTCATCTTTTTTGTCTGATGAGATGAACAGTTAAACTTCATTCAAAGCTTGTCCAGGCTGTAGCTCTGCTCTAATAAATCCAGATTTTGCGGGTTTTCAGCATCATTGACTAAAATCACCATTTAGGAAACAAATGCACCATGAATTTTTTCTATACATAAGATGATCAGCCATGACAATGCTGCTGTGGATGCTTCAGTCAACAGATCTATTGTGTCAGTGTAGCGCTACTTCCGGGTTTGGAAATTGAATGAGGGATTGTAAACTCCTACAAGGGAGGAGCACGTGCTGTAGGAGTTGGAATCTCTAAACCTCTATTACGTAATTCATGATACCAAACTGATGTTACAGGCGCTAAAGAGCCAGATCTAAAGCAGTTTTTCTTTGTTCTGCTGAAGCTTGAATAACTGGTCAGACAAATCGAGAATTTTTAACCAGCTGCATAACTTAAATATTACCTTTTCTATGTAGAAAAATGGATTTTGGTCACATAAAAATGACATTTAGAGGCATCAATGAAGAAATCTATCAATATTTTATGGACTTCTGTTAATATTTTGCCTCTCAGGCAGTCACCTTTAAGTAAAAATGTCTCATAACTCAGACTAAATCCAGCTGTGCTCAGTATTAAACATTAGAAATGGTGTCTAAATGTCATTTGGGGTCAGTTGGAATGAAGCGATCAGGAACACGAGCGACTTTGAAGCAGCATTGAAGACGTGGTCAGTCAAACACTATTTAATCAGCCGGTGTGTGTTTGTGTGTTCTGTGTCAGAACCACGAGGGTCATGCCTGGAAGTGTTGACACCCCTTTTTGTCCGAGCTAGCACGAACAATCCCACTGATCTTAATTAGCACCAGTTAGTCTGAATATTTGAGACGCGGACATTAAACCAGACAAAGAGCTTTTTTCGCCACCGGTGCAGATAATTGGAGGAAAATGTCACCTGCATATAGAGCAACTGTCACCCAGACTCGGATGTGTCTCCCGAGCAGGTTTTTAAACCACATAATGAGAGGGCAGCCACACCGGCTAACATTTCAATCTTTTTTAAAGCCGTTTGCAAGATCCTGCAGGAAAGCAGAAGGTAAAGCCTTTGTTGGAAGTGTTATTTTCTCTGTGTCACCTGGATAGATCCGAACATCACTTTCCCCAGCTTTGGCTTCACCCATTGTGCTCATTCTTAGATTCTAAAAAAAAAAACAGCTACCAAACATTTTACGCCCCATTATTTGTACCCTTTTTCTCAATTTGATGCCCCAGACTTTAAAAACTAGATATAGCCCGGTTCATCTAGCCAGGAGTGTTTGGTTGCCCTCAAATTAAATTTAGTTTCCTCCTCATTTTCAGCAGTCTGAGGAATTTTAAGCAGAAACAGCCTGTTCTGAAATGATGTATAGTGATCTTTATGTAAGCGGAAAAGATCAGTGCCAGGGGAGAAAATATTACAATATTATGCAAAAAGCTTAAAGGTAAACCCCATTTCTTTTAGATTTGAGTCAACGTGTAGATAAGGTAGATAAAGCTCGTTACACATTATCTCTGCTGGTCATTACGCGTGTAGACTTGAATTATTCTGATCGATTTATGTTAATCACTTCAGAAATCCTTTGTTTTTCTAGAAATCGTGTTTCACTGGTTTGTCTACAGATCAAAAGATTGAAATTCTGTCAAGAAGAAGCGAAATAGGGAGAGACAGATCGTCTAAACCGCACACACACAGGACTTCTTATCTCTCCATTCAAAGGGAGCAGTGCTATGATTATAGATAAAGACATTCTAATGACCCACTACAGCTTTGTTATTTTCCATTTATTTTGTATTTTTAAAGGACAAGGACACTGCAGTGACAGGATTTATTTAGAAACTAAATATATATTCACTCCTCGACACCTTTGTGTGTGTGCGTGTTGCAGGGTTTACTATTTTTAACCTGATTTCGTAACCAGCTCATAATCCAGATGTGAAGGTAAAAGATGGACTGTGAAACATCTGTGCAGACAAACTCTTTCTGATCCAGTCTGATCAGAACTATCTGTTGCTCATCAAATGTTTTACAACCAGTTTTGCAAACCAACAATCCTTTTCAATTTGAATATTCATGGCCTGACTTTTGGCTCATAGAAGTCCAACGGGACTATTCACAGCTGCTAACAGCTCGCAGCTTCACAAACCATTTGGTTCTGCCTCAATTTATTTATGTCTATTCTAAGAATCATCCAAGATGCAAAGAATTTGCCAAAGAGGGAAAAGTGCAAAGACATTTCTGTTTTACCTCAGACTGGAGCGTGTCTTCTTCTCTCCCTCAGACATCAGGCGGCTTTAAAGGCTCTGACTGGAGACTCAGTGTGACACAGGATGAGGCCTCGTCACATCTACATGAAAATATTCATGTCCTCTTGCCGTCATCACTTGGTCCCGTGGCCCTTTGGTGAACCTGTTTCTCTGACACAGGTGTTCTGTCAGACGGGCCCCGAACACATCCCCGTTACATCCATCTTTTATTAAACAGACATCCATATTAAGTCATCTCAACAGCCTCCATCACAAGCTGGAAGAGAAGTTTTATCACGTAGCTATTTTAATCATGCACTCAGTCAGTGTTCCCCCCGTCCAAACCGATTAACGCGACACACCGTGAAACAAACACAAAACATCGCACAAAGATGCAGTTGTTTTTTTTTTGCCACAGCGACTTTCAAATGAGTGCTTCACAGATTGGTTTGCTCAATAATTTAATTGGATAATCATTTAGTCAATTTATGGGGTTCATCAACAAATAGAAATGCAAATAATTTTTTCCAGACTGTTGCGGGAGCGCCTTGTTTTTACTCTGACAAGCACAACCGAACTGTCGGCGTGCTGGAAGTTGCATGAGACATGCGTTTGGTTAATGATGTGTGTATTCTCTGCACCAAACAGTCCGCTGGTCCAGCAAACAATCCATTAATGTGCATTTGAATAAGATTATTGAAAAGGAGTCAGAAAAAAAGTTAAAAGGACAAACCGTCCGTGAGCTCTGCTTGATTCTGGCTGACTCAGCGTTTCTGCTGATGCACCAAAGAAGGAGGGGCAGCGCAGGCTCTGAGTCTGAGGTCAGGCCTTTTGCCCTGGTCTCAGCTGTGTGTCATCTGTGCCCCCCCCCCCCCCCCCCCCCCCCCCCCCCCCCCCCCCCCCCCCC